CTGACCTTCCTATACCTCCCAGTGTTGAGATTACTGGTGTGCACCACTGCTGGCTTGTTTCAGTACTGAGGATCAAATTCAAAACCTCAGTTTGCTGGGCAAGTACTCTACCAGTGAGCTATACTCACATCCCTGGAAGTACAGATTTTAAAACTGCTAGGATTACAGACATGTACCACCACACTGGGCTTGGATACTTTTTATATTATCATTGTCTCTTTTTATCCATGTTGCTTAACTTTCTGAACATAAGTCATACTCTGAACTGTTTTTATAGTTCTTGGATTTTTTTTGCCTTTTGAGAGAGTCTTACTCTGCAGCCCCAGTTGACCTGCAATTCAGTATGTAGCCTAGGCTGGTTTCAAGCTGTAGCAAGCCTCTTGCCTCACCCTCCCAAGTGCTAGGATTACAGATGTGAATCATCACACACAGCTTCTTTTTACAGTTCTGACAACAAATGTATGTTTTTTTTCTATACCAACAAGCAGTTCTCTTAACTCTCCAGAAACCAAGTGGATGTCCAGCAATTCAATTTAGTTCATACTACCAAGAGTTGGTTTCAGACCCCATAAGTTGAGGCCTGTATTTCACCAGACTGCTACCAACTTGAGATAACAATTGAACATCCTAGCTGAGTGTGGTATCATAGCTCTATGGTCGCAGCATTTGGGAGGCTGAGGTGGGAGGACTGCTGAAAGTTTAAGGCCAGCCTGGGATACATAGTGAATTTCATGCCAACTGGGGTTGCACATTGGGGCCCTGTCTATAAATAAATAATGGGTCGATGAAATGGCTCATCAGGTGAAGCCTCCTGCCAAGCTTGACAACCTCAGTTCAACCCCTGGGACCCACATGATGGAAGAAGAGACTGGACCCTTGCAAGTTCTTCTTTGACTTTTACTCGTGACAGGTGCATACTCCCCATAATTAAAAATAATAAATAAATAGAAAAGTCCAGGTCTTCAGTACTTCTGGCTCCTTCGTCAAGTTTTATAATTTGTTAGAATGGTTCACAGAACTCAGGAAGACACTTGATTTACAGATTTATTCTAAAAAAGACAATTCAGGGGGTTAGAAATATAGCTCTTTTAAGCATTTATTTATTTTTAACCAGGCATGATCATGCATGCCTTTAATTCCAGCACTTGGGAGGCAGAGGCAGGCAGATCTTTGTGGTTTCAAGGCTAGCCTGGTCTACATAGCAGGTTCCAGGCCAGCTGGGGATATACCCTGTCTCAAAAAGACAAAAAAATATTTATTTTATGTATATGAGTGCTATGCCTGCATGTATGTAAACACACCAGTGTCATACAGTGCCCATGGAAGTCAGAAGACAGAGCCAGATCTCCTGGAACTAGAGTTATGGATGGTTTTTAGGCAGCATGTGGGTACTGGGATTTGAATCCCAGTCCTCTGCAAGAGAAGCATTTAAGATGGCTCTTAAATGCTGAGCCATCTCACAAGTCCCAGATATAGCTCTTGTAGAGCACTTGCCTAGCATGTGCATATCTCTGAGTTCTATCTCTAGCACTCAAAAAGACAAAAAAATGATAATTTCTTTTAAAAAGTTGAGCCTGTTGTCACATGCCTATAATTCCAGCACTTGGGAGTTGGAGGATCTCCCGGTTGTCACAGCTGACTTGAAACTTGCTATGTAGACCAGGCTGGCCTTGATCTCACAGAGACTGACCTGTCTCTGCCTCCTGAGTGCTGGGATTAAAGGTGTATCACACCCAGCTAGGTCTCACTATATAGCCTTGACTGGCCTGGAACTCACAGAGATCTTCCTGACTCTGCTTCCCAAATGCTGGGATTAAAGGCGTATACCACCACATCTGGCTTAAATGAATTTTTAACAAAACACTTTGCACTTATATTATTTATCCATTGGGAGGGACATATGTGTAATAGAGTGGAGGTCAGAGGACAACTTGGGGGAGTCAGTTCTCTCCTTCCACCACGTGCGTCCTCGGGATGGAACTTAGGAGCTCAGGCTTGGTGTCAGGTGATAAGCCTGTTGGAACCCCAGTCTGGGGCACCCAACGTCCACAGGGGGCCGCTCCCCAATAACTCAGTCCTCAGACCAGGAGATGCAACAAGCAAGAGGATTTATTGGCGTTTTGCGCAAAACGGACTCCTGCCTCACTCGGAGGTCAGAAGCCCAGAGCTTAGCTTACAGGGGCTTCTTTTAAAGGCAAAGACCACAAACTACAAGTGGTAGAAGTGGGAGAGAGAAAGCGGCAGTAACGTCACAAGTGGTAGAAGTGGGAGAGAGAAAGCGGCAGTAGTGGGAGGGGGAAGTTGGCAGGGATAAATCTATTGAGGCAGAGCAATTCTATTAACAGAACACCATATCACAATTCTATAGTAAGGCCACAAATCAATTATAAGGTTACTCCTGCATGATTACAAAGTAATACAAAATGTTTCTTAGGCAGTTCCATGAGAAATGAGGGAGTCTCTCAAGCGGTAAGTGCCCGAGTTAGAACAACATGTTTGTGAGGCTTTCAAGTATGGTCATCTGGTTAATCTCAAACCAGGTCAGCCTTGATGTCTGGAAAACAGCTTTTTCTCAGCAGTTAGAATTATTTTACATCTTATTTCCTTGTACAGCTTCCCAGAATATTCTTTTGGTCTGGGGGGACTTGGTTTGATTCCATCATTCCCCCCTTTTCTTATGGCAAGATTTTAATCATAAAATCTACAAGTTTTCTGTTCTTTTTAGAGCATGGTATTGTTGGGTAAGAACCAAGGTCTGAGTTACCGGTATTTGGTCTCTAATTAACTGTAGCAGTCTATTAATGATGCATGGTCCGAAGGTTAAGAGAAGGAGAAGAATTACTAGGGGCCTACTAGGGTGGACATTAAAGTGGTTAACCAGGGAGTTTTATTAAACCATCCTTCGAACCATCCCTGCTTGGATTCACGGTCCCTTTGTCTTTTTTCTAACCTTTGATAGAGCTTAGTCATAGTCTCTAATAACCCCTGTGTTGTCTGCATAGAAACAACTTTCTTCACCTAGAGCTGCACAAAGCCCTCCTTCCTTGAGGAAAAGCAGATCTAATCCTCTTCTATTTTGTAATACTACTTCTGAGAGGGAGGTTAGAGATTTTTCTAAGTGTGTAATTGACTGTTCTATTGCCTTGATGTCTTCATCTACTGCCATCTGTAAATATGCATAATACTGTGGTCCTCGTATTAGGGCTGCTGTTCCAGTTCCTACTCCTGCTGCCACCCCTACTCCCAGAAGTATCGCTAAAGTTAGGGACACAGGCTCTCTTTTGTACCTTCTTGGTTGTTCAAAAAACTGTTCTACAGACTCTGTGGGGTGGTAGAATACTCGGGGCAGGAGCTTAATCATGATACAGTAATCTTGAGAGGTTCTAAGGACCATACTAGCTGCACAGGGAGTCAAACCAGAGTTACATGCCCACCAAGCTCCTTGCGGAGGCAGAAGATAATAATTTCTTTCCCCTGAAGGTACAGAAATAGTGGAGTTGCAAAGGCGGGCATGGGTTGGAGGTGGGTTTCCTAAGCAGAGCCCAGATCCCGAGACTTCTGTGAGGGTTAGGGGGTGAGGGGTCTCTCTATGACATAGGTTGGCTGAAGTGGTATTGTTGAAGGCCCCTTGGATTGCTATGCCCTCATAATAAGGGGGTGCTGCTGCTAAACATAGCCAACAGGATTCAGTTAGGTTGGGGTCCGTCTGTCTAATGGCCTTATATGCTCCTTGGATCAGATTAAACAGTTGGTCCCCCGTGGGTGAAACCCTGTGACCTGGGGAGCTAGAGTTCTGTTTTACAGGGGAAGTTTCAGAAAGGGTGTTGGGAATTGAAGCTGGCGGGGGATTCGGGTGGCTGGGGATGGGATTCTGAATAGGTAAGACAGGGTTGGGGCCTATAGCTATTGAATAAGGGGAGGTATCTCTCTTAATAGTGAATAAAAGGCCAGGATCTGTCCCCTGTCTATATATCCTAATTCCCCAAGAATGTCCCTTATCCCAATCTGTGGCCTTCTTCCCTGCTGTTGTGAATTCTATCTGGAGAGGGTGGCACCATTTACCTTGACAATCCCTATTAGGAGCATTTGGGCTCTTGTGGGAGTAATTTGCTTTTACAGTAATATAATCCCAAGATGAGGATGGGGACCACCAGGTATCCCCGGTTGTTTCGCATCCCCAGCTTTTACAGTAAAAATAGTCTCTTTCCCCACACTGGAAATTAAGCCACTTAGCTCGATGGTTACCTGGGCAGACATAGAAGGTTAGTCGATGCAACATGGTCCTTGCTTGTTCATGACACCCTCCCCCTGTCAAGTGGGGTCCTCCAAACAGGGAATAAACCTCCGGGCCAGGTACTTTATCAGGATCCATAAAATTTGATATGTCCCAGGGCGCTGGTGCTCCTAAAGCTAATTTACACAAATCTGGATACAGTATAGGCCACCAAGTACCCTTGGGTGCCATCTTGTGGGTTTCAAATACTTCAATACCCATTTGATTAATTACCCACCAGGTAGTCAGCACAGGGAGATGGGGGCTCGCTTGGCTGGGGACAAGCCTACAAGCAAATAGAATCATTAGGTATCTCTGGAGAGTCTTATTTTTAGAGGGTTGGATGTCTTGTGTAGATGCCATTTTCCAACGTTGTCCTGGGCCGAGGCTCTCTTGTTGTGAGAAGTGTGGATCCAGGCTGAAATCCCGTCTACTTTGAGAGCTGTAGGCATAGTCAGGAGAACTGTGTAGGGTCCTTTCCACCGTGGTTCAAGAGTCTTTACGTTATGTCTTCTCACGTACACCTGATCTCCGATTTGGTAGGAGTGAGGCGTTTGTAGACTCCCAGGCCGGTAGAAAGCAGCCAAAGGCTTCCAAACCTGGTTCTGGATAATCTGAAGGGCTTGGAGTCTTGTTTTCAGGCTGAGGTTATCAAAGAAAGAGGGCAAGGGGGACAAAGGTACATTGAGAACAGGAGGTGGCCCTCCAAAAAGAATTTCGTAAGGGGTTAGACCGTGTATAGCAGGAGTTTTTCTAGCTCGAAATAGAGCTAGAGGTAGGAGCTGCACCCAGTCTTTAGTGCCAGTCTCTAGAGCTAATTTAGTTAAGGTCTCTTTAATGGTTCTATTCATTCTTTCTACCTGTCCTGAACTTTGGGGTCTATAAGCACAATGTAATTTCCAATTGATCCCCAATGCTTTGGCCATTCCCTGACTTACCTGGGAGACGAAGGCTGGGCCATTATCAGACCCAATTACCTTAGGCAGTCCGAATCGAGGGAAGATTTCTTTGATTAGTTTCTTCACCACAGTCTGGGCTGTTTCCTTCCAGGTGGGGAAAGCCCCAACCCACCCTGAAAAAGTGTCTATAAACACTAAAAGGTATTTATAATCATACTTTCCTGGGAGTACCTCAGTAAAATCTACTTCCCAGTTAGTCCCTGGTCGTGTCCCTCTTTCTCTCCTACCAGATGGGACCTTTGATCTGGAAGCATTTACCAGGGAACATGAGACACAATCTCCCACTACCTTCTGGACTAGCTGGTTGAGGTCCGGGAAATAATAGTGTTGTTCTTCTCTTTTTAATAGTGTTTTTAGTTTCTTGTGTCCCCGGTGTGTCCACTGGTGGAGTTGGGAGATTAACTCAAGGGCCGCCTTTCGGGGCAGTATGATTTGATTCTGATATTTCCACATTTTAGATTCTGGGTCCAAAGTAGCGTTGAGCTTCTGAACGAGTTCCAGATCCTGCTCAGTGTAGGTGAAAAGAGCATCTCCCTCCTTTGTTTGTGCTTCAGTTTCAGCCTCAAGGTCCAAATGGGTGTAGAGAATACAAATATCTTCCACTGCCTGATGGGCAATTTCATCTGCCATCTGATTTCCCCGAGCAATCGGCCCCTGGTCTCGCTGATGTCCAGGGCAATGGATAATGCTGACCTTTTTTTGGCAAGTACAAGGCTTGCAGAAGGGCCACTATTGCTTCTTTGTTTTTAATGTTCTTACCAGCCGAGGTGAGGAGTCCCCGCCTCCGGTAAATTTCCCCATGTACATGAGCTGTGGCAAACGCATAGCGGCTGTCGGTGTAAATGTTGACTTTCTTGCCCTCTGCTAATTTTAGGGCCTGGGTTAGGGCTTCTAGTTCAGCCTGTTGGGCTGAAGTTCCAGCTGGCAGGGCTTGGGCCCAGATTATCCTTTCTCCATCAACCACCGCCGCCCCCGCCTTGTGTTCACCGTCTTTCAGAAAACTGCTCCCATCCGTATACCAAGTGGCATCTGCATCGATTAGGGGCTGGTCGGTGAGGTCTTCTCTAGTCCTATGTGTTTCTGCAAGTATTTGCTGGCAGTCATGGGGAATCTCAGTACCTTTTTCAGGAGCTGGTAGTAGCATGGTGGGGTTCAAGGTGGTCGGGCTGCCAAACTTAATCTTTTCTGGATTCAATAATAATGCTTGGTAATGGGTCACCATGGCATTTGACAGCCATCTGTCAGGGGGCTGTCTAATGATGGACTCCACCGCATGTGGTGTTATAATAGTCAGGGGCTGACCCATGGTGAGTTTGTCTGAGTCTTTTACCAGGGATGCTATTGCCACCATAATTCTCAAGCATGGGGGCCAGCCAGCAGCTACATTGTCCAGTCTTTTTGAGAGATAAGCCACTGGCTTTTTCCAGGGTCCCAAAGTCTGAGTAAGAACTCCTTTTGCCATTCCTTTATTTTCATCTATGTATAAGATGAAAGGTTTTGTCAAATCTGGCAATCCTAGAGCTGGAGCCATCAGCAACGCTCTTTTTATTTTGTCAAACGCTCTCTGGTGTTCTTCAGTCCAGACAAAAGGGGTCCCATTCTTTGTCAAAGGATATAGAGGAGCTTCTATTTCAGCGAAACCCGGTATCCATAATCTATAAGAATTCTCGGAGTCCTCTGGCTGAGGTTGGTGGGCGGATAGAGGCTACTGCCTGTTTCCTGCTTTTTGTCAGCCAACGTTGCCCTCCCTCTAACCTATAGCCTAAATAGTTCACCTGCTGTAAGCAGATCTGGGCTTTCTTTGCCGAGGCCCAATGTCCAAGTTCCCCCAGTCTCAATAGGAGAGCCTCCGTACCTTGCAGACAGCCAGCTTCTGTCTCAGCTGCTAAGAGGAGGTCATCCACATATTGAAGAAGCATAATCTGTGGGTTTCTTACCCAAAAGTCAGCCAGATCATGGTGTAAAGCTTCATCAAACAGAGTAGGGGAGTTCTTGAATGGTTGGGGAAGTCGTGTCCAGGTTAGTTGCCCCGATATTCCAGCTTCAGGGTCCTTCCATTCAAAAGCAAAAATGGGCTGGCTAACCAGACTCAGCCTTAGGCAGAAGAACGCATCCTTCAGGTCAAGTACAGTATACCACCTGTGACTGGGAGGCAAGGAACTCAGGAGATTGTAGGGATTTGGAACAGTGGGGTGGATATCTTCTATTCTCTGATTAACTTCTCTTAGGTCTTGAACCAGTCAATAGTCATTCGTCCCTGGCTTTCTTACGGGGAGCAGTGGAGTGTTCCAAGGGGACTGGCAGGGGTGGAGTATGCCTATTTGTAAAAGTCTTCGAATGTGGGGTCTAATTCCCTCTCGGGCCTCTCTGCTCATAGGGTACTGCTTGATTGAAACCGGGGTTGCAGATGGTTTTAAGGTGACCACTATTGGAGGTTGATTGGGTGCCAATCTCGGGCCTCCTGTTTCAGCCCATGCTGAAGGGAATTTAATTAGCCAATCAGATATACCAGGAGTCCCTTCTATTGGTTCTTCATATAACCGATGTTCATCTTCCAGTTGCAGGGTTAGCACTTGTAGTGGAGCTCCATATTTTCCTTCTAGAGTAGCTCCCTTTTTAGTGAAGTAGATGTGGGCTCCCAGCTTAGAGAGTAAATCTCTCCCAAGAAGGGGATAGGGACAGTTGGGGACCAGCAAGAATGAGTGGGAAACCTGTCCTGTGCTGAGGTCCACTTTTCTTTCTGCGGTCCACCTGTATGTCTTCCCTCTGGTGGCCCCTTGGACCCAGGCTGTTTTGGAGCTCATGGGTCCCTCGGTTGTTGTCAAGACCTAGTGTTGAGCTCCTGTGTCTACCATGAAGGTAGTCAATTGCCCTCCTATCTTTAAGGTTACCCTGGGCTCAGGGGGGAGCTCCTGACCCTGACCTCCCTAGTCCCCTAGAGTCAGGACTGGGGTTGTTTTCTTTTGAAGTCTGTTCAGCTTCTTCGGACATCCTCGAGCCCAATGTCCTCTCTCCTTGCAATAGGCACACTGGTCTTTATCCACTCGGGGCCTTCTCTTGTCTCCCAGGTTCCTGCCTGGTCCTGGTCCTGTTCCCTGAACTACTGTGGCCAGAATTCGACTTAATTCTTTATTTTTCTTTTTCTCTCTCTTATCTTCTCTAGCTTCCTGCTCTTTTCTGATTCTATCTTCTCTTTCTTCTAAAGTTTCTCGTTTATTATAGATTCTTTCAGCTTCTCTTACTAAATCCTGTAAGGAGTACCCCTGAAGGCCCTCCAGCTGTTGGAGCTTACCACGAATGTCAGGAGCTGATTGTCCTATAAAGGCCATAATAAGATCTGCCTGACGCTCCTGGGCTGTGGGATCAAAAGGGGTGTACATCTGATATCCCTCTATCAATCATTCTAGAAACCCTGCGGGGGTTTCACTTTCTCCTTGGATTATAGCACGTACCTTTGCCAAATTGGTTGGGCGCCTTCTGGCCCCTTTGAGACCCACTAGCAGAGTCTGGCGATAAAGACGGAGATGCTCCCTACCGGCCACGGTTTCAGCGTCCCAGTTGGGTCTGGTCAGAGGAAATCCTGCGTCTATTTCATTTGGGAGCAGAGTGAGTCCCCCATCCTGCCCGGGAACATTTTTCCGGGCCTCCAGGATGACTCGCTGTCTTTCTTCTGTGGTTAGTAGGGCCTGGAGGAGTTGCTGACAATCCTCCCAGGTGGGTTGGTGGGTGAGAAGTATAGACTCTATTAAAGCAGTTAGAGCCTGAGGATCCTGAGAAAAAGAGGGATTATGAGTCTTCCAATTATACAAATGAGAGGCTGAAAAAGGCCAGTACTGAATTTGATCCCCTATAGTTTGGAGGGGAAAAACCTGGGCAGTCCAGGTTCCATCAGAAGGGCCCCCTCTATCCCTCCTTAGGCGGAGTCTGTTAGATAGAGGAGGGGATTTGTCAGGTTCAGTGGAGTCAGGAGAGGGACAAGGTAGTTCTTGGGGTGGAGGTGCCTGCGCAGGTGGATAGGGAGGTGGAGGATCAAGAAGGGTTAGGGAAGCTTGGTCCTTGGGGAGGACTGGCTTTTTCTTCTTCTCAGGGGCAGACTGAAGGGGCAGGAGGAAAGAAGTAAGACTCAGGGAAGCAGAAGGGGTAGGAAGCCCCTGATCAGTCTCTCCAGTTCCCCTAGGAGGTAGGAACGGCCGTGCCCAAGGTGTGGGGTTCCGGGCCAAGTCTTCCCAGGTGACTATATAGGCCACTTGGTCTGGATGTCCATGTGGTCTTGGGTGGAAAATGTATTCCTTGACCTGTAAGATAGTAGCAAGGTCAAAAGTCCCATCCCTTGGCCATCCTTTTTCGAAAGAGGGCCACACCGAGGAACAGAGATTCTGCCACTTCTTCTTCTGAACCTCCACTGACAAGTTACGGGCCCACTCCACGACCTCCTTCCAGTATTCCAGAGTTAGGCTTAAAGGAGTAGTTAGCGAGTGACCCATGATAGAAGTCACGAGAGAGAGAGAGAAAGAGAGAAAGAGAGGGAGAGAGGATGATCACAAGAGAGAGAGAAAGAGAGAGGGAGAAAGAGAAAGAAAGAGAGAGAGAAAGAAGTGAGGATGCCACTCCAAACAATAGTGACAAGTGACTGTGCTTGTGGATGAATACCTATCGTTGCCCAGTTTTTCTTCTGCGGGGGGCGTGAATTTATCTGGGATTCACGCCTGGGACCCCCTTATCCTTTCATGGGAGTCTTTTAGCAGTGAGCACCCTTTGGCTTTTAGTTGCTCGACCCATGCCCGTGGAGCTTTTTCAGTGGCAGGAGGGAGGGATGGAGAGGAGAAGGAAGTACAGAGGAGCCATCTTGTCTCCACCCGTGTGGGCAGTCAGGGTCTTTCAAGAGGGCTAGGAGCCTTCAGCTTATGCCAGGGAGTAGCCCTGGCCAGAAAGCCTCAATTACTCTTTTGCCATTAACGGTCCCACGCGAAGACTTAGACCAAGAATAAGGAGAAACACAAAGGGAGAGGATACTTTAGAATAGAGAGCATAGAAGAAAATACAGAATTAGGCCTCCGCCTAGAATGACTAGGGCCAGAAGTGCCATACATGCACACCATCTCTCCTTGCATTCACTTGGACCGGTCCTTCTTTCACTCAGACGCACTCTGCACTCACACTTTTAAGACAAACACAAAACAAAAATCCTTGCTGCGCGCTTCTTGACTCAAAAACTGAAAATATAGATCAGGAAGGGATCAGCCAAGCCAGTCCCTCCTCCTGGGGTGAGGAAAGCTACGCTGTCCTCCCCTCTCCAGATCACTCTGGTCACTAAGGCCAGAGTGGTGAAACCAGGGGTCTCTGGGCACGTCTGCCACTCCTGCTGGTTTCCAGAATACAGACTTACAGGTCCTGCACAGGCACAATTATTCAGACGGAATGTTCCCAGAACAGAAATGACTGACAGAAATTAAGACCAAGACAAATCACAAGACGTCTATTCTTACCTCCTGCTGATCTGAGGAAATGGGTCTGGGGGTGGCCTGGATCTCGGTGGGACCTCCAAATGTTGGAACCCCAGTCTGGAGTACCCAACGTCCACAGGGGGCCGCTCCCCAATAACTCAGTCCTCAGACCAGGAGATGCAACAAGCAAGAGGATTTATTGGCGTTTTGTGCAAAACGGACTCCTGGTTTCACTAGGATACTATTTCACTAAGCATATACAAGCCCTAAATGTCCCGGCCGGCCCACGGGATCTGCAATGGGGTGCCTGGAGTGAGGAGTGGGGATTGAATAGGGCAAGAGACACGAAGAATGGAGACAAGACAGGCTTTCTGATCAAGTCTCATTTATTGATAGAAAAGGAACAGTTTTTATAGAGAGGGGAAGGGGGAAGTTGGCAGGGATAAATCTATTGAGGCAGAGCAATTCTATTAACAGAACACCATATCACAATTCTATAGTAAGGCCACAAATCAATTATAAGGTTACACCTGCATGATTACAAAGTAATACAAAAAGTTTCTTAGGCAGTTCCATGAGAAATGAGGGAGTCTCTCAAGCGGTAAGTGCCCGAGTTAGAACAACATGTTTGTGAGGCTTTCAAGTATGGTCATCTGGTTAATCTCAAACCAAGTCAGCCTTGATGTCTGGAAAACAGCTTTTTCTCAGCAGTTAGAATTATTTTACATCTTATTTCCTTGTACAGCTTCCCAAAATATTCTTTTGGTCTGGGGGGACTTGGTTTGATTCCATCAAGCCATCTCCATGGCCTTTTATTTATGTATTTATTTATGTATTTATGTGCCTGTAGATTACAGGTTCAAGTCATCATGCCTAGTATCCCTGGCCCTTTTAATTTTTTTAAATTGAGATAAGTTTTGCTAAGTTCTCCAGACTGGCCTTAAACTGGTTCTACAGCCAAGCGGGCGTGGTTGAGTCGGCCAAGATGGTGCCCTGGCTGGCTGCCAAGCCTCGTGACCCTCACTTGTTTGCTCCAACTCGCACAAGCACTGCAAGCTTGATCACGCGCAGCCTGCCTGACATGATACGTCACCGAGCATGATTCTATTGCGTGGCCCAATGATTTGCTGCTCTGCCTGCATGTTAGCCCCGTGCTCATGTCCTGATTGGCTCAGTGTGACGGTCTGATTGTGGGATGGATCTGATGAGGGTATATATTGTGGGATCACGAAGAATAAAGGGGAGAGAATTGCTTGAACCTCACCTTGGTGTCCATGTTGTCCTTTCCTCGGCTCTGCTGGTCGGAGTCTTGGTTTGCGGCAAATTGTGGCCCATATGGGGAGTTTCTTTCCGACAGAAAAAATAGAGGGTAAGGTCCGCAGGTAAGCAGTGAAGGGATAGTGCTATTAAGGCTCCCGGATTTAGGGGACGAAGTTAGGACCACAGGCAGTGGCGAAGGGAAAGTTACAACAACATGGGATCGGCGGGATCAAAAGTGAAAGTAAAAGCCACGCTAGTGCAGCTTTTACGAAAAGGAGGGATTACACTAAAAGCCGAGATCATAAAAAAATTTCTAGATACTGTTTCAAGAGAAGCACCTTGGTTTTTGGAAGAAGGATACATTAATGTTCCTCAGTGGGAGCACCTCGGGAGAGATCTACAGAGTGCTGAGGCCACAGGCCCGCTTCCTCCGGACACGTTGGCTATTTGGTACTTGGTAAAATCATGTTTTTTCGATAAAACTGGAAAGTACCAGGATGATATTGAACAGGGGGCCCAGGCGCTGGAGGAAATGAAAGAGGCAATGTCGTACCAGAGCAGACAGAACCTCCAAGGTCTGAGAGAAAAGACAGAAACAGAGGAGGAAGATCTCTATGATGAAGAGGGAGAGTTAGCTAGTCTCTTCTCAAAGGTAGGTATGACACAGGAAGAGCCTCCTGGTCCATCTGCTCCTCCCTTACCAACACCGCCCCCTTATGGGGCTGGAGGAAAAAACACTGGGGGATGCAGCCAGCATGCCCGAGTGTGGGCTAAAATGCCCCCACAAGCAGGAGCATTTCCAGTGTTTGCAGACGCCAACAATCAAAGCGGCCTTCCCACTCCCTGTCCCTCTGAGTCTTGATGCAACAGTGTTTCCCAAACTGCATCTACTCTTGGTCAATTATCAGCTCTAACTGTTGAAACCTTGGCTCAACAAGAAAGTATTAATGCCCTGCTTAATGCAGGTATCTTGATGCTCAACCAACGGGTTGACCTTCTTCAAGAACAAGTGGATATATTAGGACCGATGGCCTTCCTGCCCTGTATATATCGCATGACTGGAATATATATAACATCTGTAAAGTTTCAGAATTTTTCCCGAGCAGGTAATTTATCCCGAGAAATTGGAACAATGCTGCAAGGAAATTGGAGTCATGAGTTCGACAAGAAGATGGCAGAGTTGCGACCATCCACCGTGGCAACAAATAACACCCGAGTAGAGATTGCCACTGTGCAGCAGTGGCTGGAGGCTATGCAGGGCACCTTTAGCTTCCTCAAGAATTTGGGGGGCATGTTTTTTTGGGGGTTCCTTTTCGTTGTGGCGTGTGGAGGTATACTGTGATGCATGACGCGCATGCAGCGGCAGACAGTGGCCCAACGGCAAAAGCTCATCCAAGCTATGGCAGCGCTGGAAGCAGGAGGATCTCCCTCCATTTGGCTAAATAGGCTGGACTGGTAGTCAATGACGGGTAAGACCCTCTCATTCGCATACCAACCTAAGACAGACCGACAACCATGATGTTGCTGAGTTGATGACGGGTAAGGATGCTCAATGAAAGAGGGCAACCTAAGCCAGGCACGGTCCCTTGGCCT